ATTTTATCTCCTTATGTTTGTTTCAGAGAAACAAAGGGTTCAGAAATAGATATGTAATTAGGCCTCTCCAAAAAGAAAAAAGCAGCTGCTGTTGACTATGTCTACTGACATAAGAAACTGAGCAAACACAACAACGAATGAGCAGTCTTCCCTGTGGATGCTTTTAGTAGTACATACCTTGCTCTATATGGTGATTTTTGTTTGCAATAAATGATGCTAGAATGTGTAAATTATGCATTAGTCTCCCTGGAAAATATGACAAAAGCTACTTAACTCAGTTTAACATGGAAGAGTTTCATGTCTCACATGATTCTCCTCTGAGTAAGCAATATCAACCATTCACGTTGCTTTTACATTGTTCAAGAATCTCATGTTAATCTGGTCCCATGTGCCTCTGAAGGAGAATTCAAGAATCTTAAAACCTGGTGATAGTCCTAGAAATTTTCTGATTTTATAACTAAAGTGTAATAATGTGAGGAATCTTATTATACTTTATAGTGTTATTTTTCTAATTTTTCAAAGTCTGGTTTGACTGATTCTTTGTGTGTCTTGCTTTCTAAGTAGAAATTAAATTAACGTTATAGGCATAAATTTTTTTGTATTCCCTGTAGCATGATGAGTAAATTTGAACGAATGTTTTCAATTACCCAATGTGTATCTAAATTGACTATGTTTGTCTCATTCTTTAATGTTATTATCACTATGATTTTATTAAAGCTCAGAGATTAATAAAATTTCTTAAACTTATTAAAGTTTCAGAAGCCAAATGTGGATGCACTTGTATTTCTTCAAGGCTGTATTATTTTATCATCCCACGATAACTTCTGTTTCTCTGTGCAAGTGGGCAGGTTCTCCATAAATAAATTTAGTATTCATTGGCTAACAACACCAGGACCAAATACACCTACAATTTAATAAATAAAGCAACCCAGATGGCTTCAGAATATATATGGATTGACCTTTTGCCCATCTTGCCTTAGAAAACTTGTTATTACTTACAATAGAATACATGGTGGGCTATAAAGAGCACTGTAAAAACTTAAAATTTATGGAACCTTCTGTACTTCTTTATCATGTACATTTTTCTATTTCACTTCCTGTTTTCAAACTGCTTTATCTGCTCGCTGTAAGAATCAAGAATAGTAACCATTCTCCTTTTACCTAGACAATCTGAATTGGTTTTATTTAATATGGAAAAAATTACCTATCTAGATTGAAAGTCTGAAACTGATTTTCCATCTCTTGCAAAAATTTTAATTAATGCTTTCCATCACAAACTCACATTCCATGCTAGTTAAATCAGGAGAACTTATTATCTTCTTACAATTCAACCTATTACATATAAATTATCCTTATTTGGGACTTTGGTATTATTACTTTTGCCAATTATCTTCTCTTTCTTCACATCTGGAATGGAACCAGTCAAAACAAAGTGATTCTGACAAATACAAAAGGGTACGTAAGGGTTGGAGGTTTAGCTCAGCGGCATAAGCGCCTGCCTTGAAAGCAGACAGTCATGAGTTTGAATACCGGTGCCGATAAAAAGCAAGAAGACAAAAAAAAAAAAAAAAAAGTGTAGGTAAAGGTTGGTGTTGAAGAGAGAACAGTCTAACACTGGGTACATGCATCCTAAAATAATTTTAAGGTATTTCTAATTCTGTAGTTCACATTGCAGACTGTTTATGCTATAGCTCTTACAGATGCTGATTGCAAGAAGCAAAAGTCTACTCCCAACATGGAAAAGATATATGAAATAGCAACAGAAAATCAAGGACATAGCCTATAAGAACACTTGTAGTTTTATGACTGCCCAGAACGTACTCTACCAATTTGTAGGGGTTCTCTTTTTCTGTATTTGACAGTCTAGTGCAACTGCTAATCAACATGTCCAGAACAGAGCTGTAGAAAAAGCAAACGCTTCTTCCATAAAAGAACAACAAGATATTCATCCATGAACGTTATATCTTTAGAAATAAAGACAGACTTGTATGAGCCCCCAAATCAGAGCAATAATACTTCCAGTGACAGAGAATATAACAGGAGATATGAAGATAATTCATGAAACCAAAGTGGTGTCTTCATTGCCATTATTTTAGTTTGAGTGGGTAGACTGCAAAATCACAATTAAGACCCACAATGCAATGTCAAAAGCTTGTAAGGCTGAGTAATTAAAACTTGTTTCAGTGGCTTAAAAATATAGAACAAAATGATACTGCTATAATATTTCTAATGAGGAGCTAGAGTATGATCAGCATTTTCTGTGGATGTTTTTGTCACCAAACAACCAGAATCTTGCTCTTATCATGTTATGAGTTTGTCATTTAAAAAAAGAGATTTCTGCTTGGACTTTGTCTATCATTAAAATCCTAACAAGCAGCAAAGGTAATGATCTACACTGTTTGTATTCCAAATGCATGGAAAGTTGGGAATTTTTCACACTAGGCTTCTGATCTAATTAGAGCCTGTTATTCATGGGTGGCAGGCAACTTTATGTTTCTCCATTAGGATATTCTTGGAAGGGTTTTACTGTTGTCACTAACGCCCAATGAATTTAGCAGTTTTGATGAGAAAACCCACATTTATGTCACTTCTTCTGGATGCTCCCACTTCTCATTTGATATTTACAAGCATCACCTCACTCACCCCATGAAACATCCCTGTGAGTTTCATGTAATTGCAGCTATTTTCCTAGGGAAACTGTGCTGTAACATCACACGAGAGATCCTTTTATGCAATCATAAATGTACAAACTGCATTTTGACACTAATTATTGATAGACGATGGGCTATAATGTGACCCCACACATACTCCGGAAGGTAAAACCGCCTATCAAGGTTTCCCCAGCAATGATCACTGTGAACAGATGAGACTTATATTACACTCATGGGAAGAGGTTGACCATTAACTGCAGAAATGTGTTTAATAAAAATACAATTCTCTGCCACCATTTATAAAAATAACATGTTGCTTATAAATATAAAATTTTAAATGTTAAATCATATTTATACTACATAAATAAACTGATGCTATGCTCAGAATACTAATAATAAAACTGAAAAAATATAAAGCACAGTGCAAATATAAATTAATTTAGTTATTAATTTGAAATATTCATTTATTAAAAGTCTACTATGCTGCAAAAAGCTGTAGAATACACTGGGTAACAAGATACATTTCCCTATATGCAAAGAATTTGGACAGTACTATTGCAGTTACTATTGTTAGATTTCCACTAATTTGCTCTTGATCCTTCACAGCACTAAATGCAAAGTTCCCTTGCAAGCAGCAGTGTACTTTCGTTACATTTTTCATCACACTCATGATCACCTCAACCACATTTATATCACCGATTCCCAAATCTACAGTCCCAGGTTATCTCCCAGCTCCAGTCTTATGGTCTCAAATTTCCCATTGAACTTCAAAAGAACCTGCTGATGTCTCAAGTTTAAAGTACTCTAAAAGGGGACCTTTTTTCCTTCATTATGAGCACCTATTATTCGACCATAAACTGCCGGTTACTTTTTGACTCATTACTGTCACACAAACTAACTGGAGAAACAGTGAATGGTGCCCTTTCCACAGTCCTCTCAGGCGTTCCTCACTCCAGCCTGTTCTACAGCTCCTTGCCTTCACATTCTCTGCAGGTACGAATCTGATTATAAAATCTGTGCTGGAAAATATTGGCTCTCAGCAGAAAGTGTCCAGACTCTTCAGCTTGCTGTTGGAAGTCTTCTTTCCTTAAGCACTTAACTTTCTTCTGGCTTGCATTTAACAACTCAAGACTTATGCTAAAATCAGATAAGAAATTTGTGTAGAATTTGCCAACACATTTTCCCATCTGCTCTTCCTCCCAAACTATTCCAGTCCCCACACACATGCAAGCCCAGGATGATCTTAAAAATTTAAATTTTGTTATTTCCATTAAACATCTCTGATTCATCTCAGGTAGAAGAGCACTTCTCTTCCATTTTTAATTCTGGGATTCACTGCCTGTCTTATGTTAATTATTTTTAATAATTTTTATGTGAAATGTATGGAGCATTTTTGTGCCATACTTCCATTATCAAATATAAGCCTCTCAAAACACACACGTCTAATTTATTTTTACATACACAGGCATATCTAAATCTCATGTATATATAAGAAAGTGTGCAATGCTGAAGTGTTCAATAAGTAAATATTCAAAAAGCTAGCATTCCCACGTAGCCAGCACTCAGCTCAAGAAATGAGGAAATGACTAGTGCTCAGAAAGCATTTCCTTTTTAAGTTACGAGTATATGCAAGAAAATCTACATTTTGATTTGTATCATAGACTGTTTTTAAACTCTATGTAAATAGGAATAAAAGGATACAAAATATGGTTTGGTTTCTCTTGATCTAACAACATTTACGAGATTGCATTCATTTGATTTCATGTGCTTGTACATTGCATGTCCCTGATTCTCTAATGTACTCTACCTTGCTCATCTATTCTTCTGTAGATATAAATGTGGCTTGTTCCTCCAAGTATCAAAAAGCTACCCATGTCATTTGTATAATATCCATTTTCTCTGTCTCCTTCTTTTCTTCTTCCTCATCTTTTCTCTCTTATCCTCCTCCCTCCTTCCTCCTCCTTCCCCACTCCTCCCTCTCTCTCTCTCTCTCTCTCTCTCTCTCTCTCTCTCTCTCTCTCTCTGTCTCTCTCTCTCTCTCTCTCTCTCTCTCTCTCTCTCTCTCTCTCCCTTCTCACTCTCTTTTGTCTTTATCTCTATTAGTTGGATCTCTTTAAAAGTAGACCTGACAAAAGATTTATTATGCAGGGACATCTTCAGGAAGTGAATAGTGATTGGAGAATGAAAAACTGACAATGGAAGAAATGTCAGCTCAGTAACAGAGCTTGAGTCAGTGGACACAAAGCAGGAAATTGTATAAAACAACTCATTAAGTTACCACAACTAAGGAGTGAGTAAGCTGAAATATTTTTATGTTAACATGAAAGTCATTGACAAAGAAATATTCACCGGGAGAGGATTACTTCTCTGGTATTTTCATCTTCTATGCACATATGCATGGTGGTCCCAGGCACATCCAGGAAACTATCTCAGTATTGACGCAGATACTAGTATTTAGAAGTCACTCAGGTCCCACTAATGTTGGATGATTGGGGAAATACGGTCAGAAGACTGGCAATAAGTGTTTCTCTTTCTGTCTCTCAGTCTCTGTCTCTGTCTCTGCCTCTGCCTCTGTCATTTAAAACTGAAGAAATCTAGAAAAATAAATATTAAGAGAAAAAATATGAACTAGAAGGGAAACTAGTTTGAAAACCATTTCTCATGCAACCGATGAGCAACATTTTCACATTAAGACTCTATACCCACCAAACCATGAGGCAAAGGCCATATGACTTACATTATCTGTAACAGCATAACTGAAATTAATTTTTTCAGAAAAACATAGTGATATCAAGGTTAGAGAGATTTTTCTACCACAGGTCTTCAAAAAAAAAAAAAAAAAACAACAACAAAAAAAAAAAAAAACAGAAAAAGGACCATGTAGTGTAGCAAACAATGCCATTCTCAAACCTCTCAGATAAAATGAAAGTGTTAATAGCTAAAGGAAAAACGAAAACTTAAGGACCTTAGAGCTAAATAATTCCAAAGGAACCACGTCTCTTTTGGAAACTCTTCTCCGGCTTTGCAATATCATAAACAATCTCTTCAGGAAACACTTGTCAGAACCAGGAAGTTTGAATGACATCATAAAGAGGTTTACTCTTTCCCTGAAGGTCCTTCAAGAAGGCAGTGACCATCTCAATGACACACTGACCTTTCAACAGCTTCAGGAGAATAAGAAACAGGCAGTCTAAGAATTTCAAAATGTAGAGCACAAGGGCAGAGATTTTTGTCACTGTCATACACTGCCACTCAGGCATGAATGTTGTGGGGATGGTCACCATCCTGGGCTCAGAGACATTGAGAAATAATCATCTGGCAGTGTCCACCCCAGACAGAGCAGCACAAATCCTGCAGCAATCAGAACCAGGTCCCTCAAGGAAGCCCTGTGTTAAGGAAGCCCTGTGTTTCCTTAATTCTAACCAGGCACCCAATATGCTCATCCTAAACTTTTCACCATCCTGTGTTGAAATGCTGCAATAAACAAGCCTGTTTTTATTTTCAATCGCTATTCTTCCCTTTTAACACACTTTTTAGCTTCAAATAAAAGATTCCTGTCTCCTGAAGATGCAGTTTTTGTCACAGTTGTGTCTTCTCTAAGATTTCATAGTCATAATTCATAAGTGTGCTTCCTCATCTTGACACACACAGAGCAAAAATCTCCTCTATGTCTCAGGATAAGCTAGAGTAAACCACAGTAGTGTAGCGATTCTGAAATAGAAGTGTAACGAAAAACATATTTTTCACGTATGAAATAGACTGTTGGGAAGTTTAGGTGACTTTCTCAAACCAGCTGCTTTTTTTGTGGCTGCTTCATTATCTTTTGCCATTAAAAGCATCTTGACATTCATAAGTCGACAAAGAAAAAGATGAAACTAATATGCCACATGCATATGCACTTCTACCAAAAGGCAACATAGAATCCCTTACCTTGTATCTGGAATAACGCAGTTGTGTATTCCCAGTCTAACCGAAAGAGCATTTTAGAAATGCAGACTTCCAGGGCTCCTTGGAAGAGAAAATAAGACAGATTTAGGATGTGTCAACACTTTCTGGTGCACAAATAATCAATTTTCTTTCCCCTCAGCACATGAGATACACTCTCCCTCTCCTAAAGAGGGATGACCCACATCAGCAGCTGCTCGCTATTTCCAGCTCAAAATCAAGTTCTCTAGGTGATTCTCAGTTCTCTGTACGAGGTCCACATGCAGGTCTTTGTGGCATAGATAAAATAGATGCTCCTACTCAGAATGCAGTGTTCAATATTAAAAAAAAGGCTCTATAGCTGACAGGCTTTTGAAGAAAGACTCATAGAGAAAGAACAGAGGCATACAGCAGCCAATCAACACAGTGAATTTGAAATCCACTAGCCAGATGCTGAGAAATTCCTCTGCTTTAGAGCCTGAGTGGAGTTTCCATGAATTTGGCTCTATTCTTTGAAAGGATACATTTTTTTAATCATACAGTAGTTCTCCAAGAGCACAGTTCAATGTCTTTTCTTTGAAAATATTTTTTTCCATTATCATACATGCCTACGTGTCAAACAAAGGTTAATTTATATGCCTTCCTTTAAACAATGCCACCTTGAAGACTGCCTCTTGACTGTGGAAATCTAGAGGATGAAAATTCGTTAATATCCAGAATAGGACAAGTTAGTTTTAATCTGGTCTTGAGGACTTTAATATTTTTCTCATTAGTTCAGGAACAATAACCATACCCAAATTCTTTTTAGAATTAATTCCTTGAACTGTGACTTTTCATATTTAATGATAATTATTGTATCTTCATATGTCTTGAAAAAAATATACTGACCATAACTTGAAAAGCTGAACTGGATTTTTTTCCCAGAGAAAGAAAACTAGACTTTCCAGGTGAACCAAATAAGTCATCTGCACCCAAAATATCAACCAGGTGACAATTTCCAAATCTTTTGTCCCAGTATAACCTGAGTCACTTTCATCCAAGCTTCTAATATTCTGCTTCCCTAGTGTTAATCTAGTGCCATATTTGTAGAATTTTTTTATACCTGCTGAAGGTAAATCTACCGAGTGCTAAGTAAGGATTCAAAATTTCAGTAACTTGACGTAATCACTTTAGTTTTCCTATGTCAAATTCAGCTGTGAAAGGTTAATGAATTTCTTTGTAGCTTTCCTCTGGTTGATAACTCATTTATATCTGTGTCTTCTATCACATGACTCTATCACCTCAGAGTCTTTCCTTTCACCATTTATTAAATGGGAAAAAGAATATAGGCCAAGGAGTTTTCAGACGGATTGAAATTTCAAGCTTGACAGCAAACTTGATCACTTCTACCCGTATTTACTTGTCATAATTAAAGAAACAAGTCCTATTTAATGTTAAATGAGATCAGGAAATTTAGTTTTCTAATATTCTTGAGGAGAGGAAGTAATATAATCTGCCCAACTCCTGGCATGGTTCACCAAAACTTGTCTTAATTATTTTTCTTTTTATTGTCTCTGGTTAAAATCTGGCACCAACAGATCACTTCCACCCATAACAGTTCTCTTTAGATATTTTGCATCTGGGTCTTGTAATGTCTAGACTAAAATGAAAGTTATCTTTTCCTCTGCCTATACAGATGCATATGCACATACCATGTAACAACAGCAGCAAATGCTCCTGTTTGGTAGAGAACAGAATGAACTCACCAGTCACTGCTCTGAACAGACCTGACACATTTCTATTGTTTATAAGTCCACCTTGCTGGGGGAAATCTCTTGTCTCCTTTTGGCTCTGGGCTTTTCTTTTGGAAGGCTTCCTCATCTCACATCACTGCCCAGCCCAATAAAAAGCAGAATGAAATATCCTCTCTGACAAGTGACTCAAAGAATAATCTGTTTCCAGTTTATAATCTATTTCATGGTTTCATGTATACTCTGGAAATCACCAACTCTTACTATCTAGCCATCTTGTTAAAAGATTGACAATATCACGTCTCTTTGCCTCCCAATAACCAGAACTCAGGCACATGGCCCATGCATCACAAGGTTGGATAAGAATTGTTTTCCTACATGATCAAGAAAATTAAGAAAAAAATTCATGAGTCAATCGCTGTAACTTGTTGTTTTTTTTTTTTTAAAAAAAAAAACTTTTGCTCTAAAACTATGGTAATTTTACTACCATATTCCTCCTCTCCTAGTGCTATCCTGTTCTGTAGTCCAGCACATTTTTCTGACACCTTAAAAACTCTTTCTTTCTGCCTTCCTTATTATATGGTAAACTCATCCAGATAGTCAGCATCAACTTTATACATGTTTTCAATTCCAAAGATTTTTTTTTAACTAGGACACATGGGCCATTCTGAGAGTCAAATCATTCATGACTTGCCTGAAACAATCAGTTTGCTAAAATCTCTACCTCACTTCTCCTGTGTTCCCATCCCACCCTACCCAATGCTGAGACCAAAAAATATCCTTTTTTCTCTGCTGACTACAGAAACTCCTTAGTTACTCACTTCTAACCCCTTACTCTGGTGTCCATGCTAATAACACTCTAATGCTCCAGCTTGCTGTGTCTATTCCTTTCTATTTTAGCTTTCTTCTCTTTGTACCAACACTACAAACTCCTTTTATTTTTTTTTTTTTCAAATTGAAGAAACTTTTCCTTTAGCTGCTTCTTTCATTACCAATTATGGATTCTTTCATTCATCATTTAATAAACAGTCTTCCCAAACATTCCTTACTGTGTATGTTTCATTTAATCCATTTTGAAAAACTTTAATATTAAATAATACTATATCTTTCCTTCTAATTTCACCTTGTTAATTGAATACTACTTGAGAAAACCACATAAAAAGAATGCTGTTGACTTTTGAATACTGACTTTGTATCCAGATGCATTGCTGAATTTACTTATTAAATCTAAAGTCTGTTAGTGGAGATTGGGGGTCGTCTGGGTAGAGTATCATGTCATCTGTGAATAACAATAATTTAACTTCTTTATTTCATATACTTAATCTTTTATTTGTCTCATCTAATTGCTCCAGCTAATATTTCCAGAACTATATTGAATAGGAGTGGTGATAGTGGACATCTTTGTCATGTTCCTGATTTTAGAGTAAAAGCTTTCAGTTTTTGTCCTTTTGTTATGATGTTGACTGTTGATTTGTCATAGATGACTTTTATCAGATTGAGATAAAGACTATCTATTCTGATTTTCTGTAGGATTTTTGCCATGATTTAGAAATGATTTAGAAAATGACTTTTAAATTTAATCAAAAGCTTTTCCTGCATTTATTGAGATGATCATGTGATTTTTCTCTTTGGTTTTGTTAATATGGTATATTACTTTTATTGATTTTCATATGTTGAACCATCCCTGCATTCCTGGGATAAAGCCCATACGGTCATGGTGTAAAATCTTTTTTGAAGATTTGATGAATTATGTTTGCTAATATTTTATTGAGGATTTTTACATCTATGTTCATTAGGGAGAAGGTCTGTAAGGTCTGTAATTCTCTTTTTTGCGAGGAGGGAGTCTTCCACTGATTTTGGTATCAGAGTAATACTTGCCTCCAGAAATGACTTAGGAAAAATTGCTTCCCTTTCGATTTTATGAAAAAACTTGAGAAGTATTGGTGGTAAATCTTCTATCAACTTCTTGTAGAATTCAGCTGTGAATCCATCAAGACTTGGGCTTTTCTTTCTTGGTAGGTTTTTAATTAGATTTTCAATTTCATAAACTGCTATTAGGTTATTTAGGACATTTATATCTTTTGATTCAGTTTTGGTAATTCATATATTTCCAAGAATCTGTTGATTTCTTCTGTTTTCCATCCTATGAGAGTGTAGATTTTCAAAATAGGTATAGATAGCCTTCTGAATTTCCTCAGACTCTAGTGATTTCACCTTTTTCATATTGCATGGATTTGAGTTTTTTCTGTCTTGTTTTTGATAAGAGTGGCTACAGGTTTATCAATTTGATTTATTCTTTCAAAAAAAAACTAACTCTTCAATTCATTAATTCTTGTATTTTTTTATTTTTTTTATGAGTATCAGGGATCGAACTCACAACCACACGCTTACAAGGCAGGTGCTTATGCCACTGAACTAAATCCCCAGCCCCATCTTTGTATTTTTTTTAATTCTCCATTGCATTAATCTCTGCTCTAATCTTTATAATTTCCTCCATTATTTGGACTTGGGCTTGACTTGCTCTTCTTTTTTGTAGAATTTTGAGGCGCAGCATTAGGTTGTTTGTCTTTGTTTCATTTTTCTGATGTGAGTGTTCATTGTTATAAACTTCCTTCTGAGAACTGCTTTCATTGTGTTCCAGAGGTTCTAGTAACTTGTAGTTGCTGACAGAGAAATTAGAGAAACCACACCCTTCAAAATAACATCCAAAAAACGAAATACTTAGCAATCAATCTAACACGGGAAGTAAATTATTTATACATTGAAAATTATAGTACTCTGAAAAAAAGGAATCAAAAAGGGCATCAGAAAAAGGAAACATAGCCCTTGCTCATGGATAGAAAAAACCAACATCCTGAAAATGGCTATACTCGCAAAACTGTTATACAGATTTAATGCAACCCTGATCAAAATACTATTAGCATAGCAAATCTACACAAAACATTCCTAAAATTCATCTGAAACCAGAAAAGACTTGGAATAGCAAAGGCAATCCTGGGCAACAAAGGCAAGACAGGAGGCATCACAGTCCCTGACCTGAAATTGTACTACAAAATTGCTACAATTAAATCAACATGGTACTGGCGAAAACAGGTCTAAGGATCAATGGAATAGATTAGAAGATACAGACAGAACTACAAACACTCTAGGCACTTTATCACTGATGGAGAGGTCAAATATGTTCACTAGAAGAAATATAAAACCTCTTTAATAAATGATGCTGGAAAAATTAGCTTTCTACATGTCAAACATTTAAAAGATCGTGTCTATCACCATACACTAAACTAAAGTAAAAATGGATCAAAGATCTAAATATTAAGAAAGAAGCATAAATTTACTGCAAGACAAAGAAAGCTGAAATCTCAAGGACATAGAGATAGATAAACATTTCATGAACAAAAACCAAACTTCACAGGAAGTACTTCAAAGAATCAACAAATGGGATTTCATCTTAACAAGAACACTTTTGCACATCCAAAGAAATCACCAACAGAGTGAAAAACAAAACCCATGAGTCAGGAAAAGATTTTGCCAACTGTTATTTTAACAAAGGACTTCTGTCCTTTGTTAACATATAAAGAATTAGTAAAAATAAGGTCTCCCAAGTCCAAAGGCCCAATCCAAAAATGGGCATCTAAGATGAAGAAATTCTCAGATGAAGAAATTCAAATGGCAAATAAATATACTCACTCCAAAAAGAGTGAGTA